CCTCCTCCTCCTCCTCCTCCTCCTCTTCCTCTTCCTCTTCCTCTTCCTCCCATCATCAGCCACCATGGCCAAGAACGCCTGGAGTGATAACCCTTTTGGGGGAGGTGATGATGTTGACAACCCCTTTGCCGATGCCTCGGTCACCTCGGCCCAGGCAGCCGTGCCCGAGTACAACCCCTTTGATCAGCCCACTTCGGCTGCTCAAGCCCCTTCCAATAACGCCGATTATGCCTCTGATTCCGTGGCTCAGGGTGCTGCCGCCTTTGGCACGCGTCCGGCTCCCCCTCAACCAGCAGATGTGCGTCCCAACCTGCCTCGATGAGCGCAGCCGTCATTGTTCTACCAGCTTATGCCTCGTGCTTTGTAGGAGGACGTGCCGTCCTGGATGCGCGATGAGCCAGCCTCGCCCGCCACAGCTTCGGCCGCGGCCGCCCCCGCTGCTGCTGCTGCTCCCGATCAAGCCCAGAACGCCTCCAAGAACAAACCGGTTACTCAACGCGAAGTGGTTCGTTATGGTCACGCCACTACCTCCAGCCAAAAGCGATGCTCTCCGCCTGCGTCCTACCCCTCCTTTCGCTGTCTCAGTCACCATGCACTCGGCATTGACACCCGTGCCTTTTGCGCTCTGAACCCATGCCACAATCTCACGCGGGCATGCCTCTGCCACCCCCTACTTACTGGCACACAGGAGTACGCCGAACGCGAGCGCCTGGCTCGCCTCCAGGAAAAGGGATCAGCCCGTGATCCCAACTTTCCCAACTTTCCCCGTTAGTATCATGCCCTTTGCCCCGTGCACCCCCATGATGCATCTTTGTTGCTTCTCTTCCTGTTATGTTGATCACATGCACGCATGTCTTGCTTTGCTTTTGCTTTTGCTTTTGCTTTGCTTGTCTTTGCTTCTCTTCTTGACCTGCCTTACACACTGCCTGCTCTTTCGACCAGCCACGCTATTACTAACCACCCCTTGTCCCCTTGTCCCCTTGTCCCATGACCCAAATAGAATGGATGCGCAACAGTCTAATCAAGCCTTGCTTTCATCTTGATATCAAGGTCTGGTGCCTCGTTTATACTCTCACACTCGTTTTCGATGCTTTCTCGCGCGCACGTGTCATGCCGATGCCGCGATGCTGCTTGCTTCCTGGATCCTTATTCTACAGACGGAGATCCCTGTCTTGGGCCAACGCATCACGCGCATCTCCTACTACGCCTGGCTTGTAAGCTCCGCAGTCCACCCTGCAACATTCCCCGTCCGATCGCTTCCCCCCTCTCACGCAGATCCTCCTCTACCCTTTCTTTAGCTGTTGCTGCTTACGGTCTTTTGGAACATGATTTGCATGCTTGCGGCCCTGGCTGGTCACGCCAAAAATAAGGGCCAATCAGCTGTACGTGCGCAATCCGTTTGCTGACACACCTGCGACCAAAGCGCTCGACCAACCCACTCCTTCACTCTCGCAACTTCCAATCAAACCAAAAGGGTCTTTCCGTGGCATACCTCTTCATCTGCGGGCCGGCTGGCTACATGTGCTGGTTTCAGACCCTGTATACAGCCTTTCGAAAGGTTCGCACGCACGGCCATTGTCCTAATTCCCTTGGCTTGTATAGCTTGCGCTTGCAAGTCTAGCCCTAGCTCAGCCCCTTTTGCGCACACACGCCTGCACGCATGTACAGGACTCCTCTCTCCGCTTCGGCTGGTTTTTCTTGGTCATGGGATGCCAAGCCATCATCTCCATCATCTTTTCCATCGGTATTCCCGGTTGGGGTTCGGCCGGCGTTTGGGTCTCCATCGAGGTGAGCCGGGATCCGCGCCATGCCTCTCGATGCATCTTGAAGTCGTGACTGGACCAAAGTCTAGACGACATGATCTGACCGATTCTTTGGATGCAACTTTACCCCTCTTAGACCATTGATGACAACGCCGCCGCTGGCATTCTTTCCTTCACGGGCGCAGGTATGCGTCTTACACCCCCTGCCTGAGCACATGATCTGGTCAAACTTGGCTCACTCCCTCTCATTGGTTCAATCACAGGCCTTTGGATTTTCAACTCGTTGCTGCATGTTTACATTCTGCGCCGTGTTTTGAAGGCCTACCGCATGGCTGGATAGTGCGTTTGTCTTGACAAACTTTTACCCTGATTGCCCCTTAACGTCTGGGATCGCGGTGTGGACTCACAAGTGGCCCTTCGCTTTGACTTGCCCCCCCCTCCCCCCTCATCTTGTGCAGCACAACTGATGACATGCAGCGCGAGGCTGTTGTTGGAGTAGCTTCAAACCAGGTTTGAAACTGGCTCTCAACCTTTCCATGAGCACTTTACTTTGCCTCCCTCACTCTGGTCTACGCTGCTAGACCGTGCGCAAGGCCGCCGTCAATGCTGCGATGAGCAGCTGAGGAGAGCCCCCAATATTACCCTGATTGGATTGGTTGATTACACCCGAGCACGCGTTGGGTCGAGGTTGTGCGAAACAACTCCTTGTATTCCCAAGGAGAGGTAGCCACTGCTGATACGTCAAATGGATGACTGTGCGCTCTGTTTACTCGGTTCCTGTTCGTTTTTGTTTCTTCTTGGTCACTCTTTCTTCAAGTTCATATTTCTCTTCTGTTCTTCTGTGTGACAACTCTTCTCGTTTTGTAACTCGGCGTGCTGGTAACAGCCGCTTGGGCATCGCTAGGTACCAGGGGTTTGTGTGTTCCTTCCCAATTGCAAGTGTACATGTACGCATTTCAACTCGTCTTTTGACATAATGGCCAACGAGTAAAATCAAGAAGAAAGCTTGGATTCCAACTGAAAAATGGGTGGTGGGACACGCCACACGAGGTCATAGTGTGGATGGAGCAAGGGCATTTCATGACCGTGGCGTGCGTGTAACATGCACAGAACAAAAATAAACAATGTTATCACAAGCGTGTAAGGGCAGGAGTGTGACGAGAGCACGGGCGTGAAAACCGAAGAAAGGACAATGGAAAGTAATTAGTAGTGTAAGGGTGCAAGCGAGCACGAGGCTAATCATGCGGGCTTAATCGAGACGTTGGTACGACTCGCTGGTGGTGGAAGTAGGAGAAGTCAGCGCGGTGTCGCCAGTGTAGCGGTAGCAGAAGTAACGGAGACTAGCGGTCCACACCCAGGCACCAGTGGCGCGAGAAGAGGGTGTATCAGCACCGACAACACGGCAGAAGCACTCTTGAGAGAAAGCGAGATAGCTTGTCTCGTTGCGGAAAGCCTGGTAGAAGGCGCCGTTAAGAGGCATCTGGAAGCGCTGGCCGGTACCAGAGAAAGAGCTGTACTGCAGCTGGAATTGGCCGCAAGGCGCGCTAGTGGTGGTGGTGGTGGAGGTGGTGGTGGTATCAGTCACAGTGGTGGAGGTGGAGGTGGTGGTAGTGACGGTGGTCGAGGTGGAGGTGGTAGAGGTAGTAGTGGTGGAGGTGGAGGTAGTGACGGTGGTGGTGGTGGAGGTGGTGGAAGTCGTGGTGGTAGAGAAGGGGCAGCTGTCAATGCGTTCGCGCTCGCAAACAGCAAAACGGAACTTGGTGCAGACGGCATCGTTCCAAGAAGCAGGCTGACCTCCCTTGGGATGGCCCATTTGGATGCAGTTCTCGCCGTTGGTCTTGCCGTTAGGCTCGTCGTTGCGCCACAGGCAGCCAGGGCCACCGTTGGCACAGCCAATAACGGGGTATTCGGCAAGGAGGCCCGAGATGGAAGTACCATCCAAGAAGAAGTACTGATCCACGCTGGAGTTGTACACGGCACCAAGCCAGCGCAATTCGTTGGGAATGGGGGAGATGGAATAAACAAAGTCGTTCTCGGCCTTGGTCTCAGTGTACACGAGATGAGCATCCATGGTCTCGCACCAGTCCTGAGCCTGAGCAAAGGTCAGAGGGATATCGGGGTAGAAGTCCTTGGAGTAGAAGTACTGATGGCCCTCGAAAACATGAGCGTAGCTGCAAGAACCGGTGACGGTAGTGGTGGTGGTGGTGGTAGAGGTGGTAGTGGTCGAGGTGGTGGAGGTAGTGGTGGTTGAAGTAGTGGTGGTCGAGGTAGTAGAGGTGGTCGTGGTGAAAGCGCAGGGAGCATGGCCATCAATCTCACACACAGCAAAGCGGCGCTTGGAGCAAACGGCATCGTTCCAGTTGCCGACCTGACCACCCTTGGGGTGACCCATCTGGACGCAAAGTTCGTTGTAGGTGATACCGTTGGGCTCATCGCGACGCCAGAGGCAACCGGCGCCCGAAGGCAGGCAAGTAGTGTACTCGGCGAGCAGGCTGTTGATCGTGTTGCCGTCGAGGGT